TTATCATTATCATTATCATTATCATTTTTATTATTATCATCATCATTGATATTATTATTTATTTATTTGTTGGGCTTTTTCACTTCACCATTATTATTTTGACGTACAAGAGTATTTAATAGATATTCATCTTCGTTATTTTTATTTTACATTTTCAATTCAAAGCTTAAAGTGACCAAAGTGAAAATGCTCAAGTGCGTCGTGCACAGAATTTTTCGTGGCCTTTAATGTTTCAGGAGGAAAAGTTGTTCGTCCTTGGGAGAACGTTGAAACAGGATTCAATTATAATTAACGATCAATTCATCAACATCGTGTTTCTCACCGTACAATTAATTCTTTGATAAGCTTAAATGAGTATCTTTAGAAAAGGATTTGACAAGATAAGCTGAAATAATTTTTTTTTTCTTCTTAATATTGATTATTGTTTGTGAGCTAAGGTGTGAGACTGGTGTTCGTTGGATAGAGGAGAAAGCAAAGTATCATTGAATATAGATATCAGGTTGAAATTTTGGCAATCAAAAGTACAGAGTGCGCCGTTGCTTTATCAAAAATAAAAGAGATGAAATGAAATTGAAAAGAAAAAAAAAAGCTTTGGGATACGCTTGTAAACGCTTGCTTTATAAATTAGGCGCTTCAATGATTGCAAGTTTATGCTGCTTTTAAACACACACGCTTCTTTAGTTAACGCTAATTGTGCTCATAGCTGTATTTTATTTTTCAATTGATACCCGTGCAAACGCACGCACACACTGCTGCTGCTGCTGCTACAAAAGTTGCTAAAAGGTCGAGTAAAAAAATAATAATAGGCTTCTATACTGCTTAAAAAGATATATCACACGCATATTGAGTGTACTTAGTAGGAGAGTGTTCGTTTAACATTTTTTATTTTATTTTTTACTTTGACGATTTATAGAGAAAAAGAAAAAAAAAAAATTGCTTCTATTTGATTAACATTTTTTTTTGTTCTAATACGCTAATTGCAAATTTTGCCGCTGCTTCTGCTAACAATCACCGCTGCTGCTTTTATTACACGTTTTTATTACGCTTTACCCCCGCATTATCCCTTCTGTGTACGATCTCGTCATTCCTACATGTTTTCTGTTTTGCTTAACAAAGTATACAAATGCTAATGTATTTGTGTATACATACCTATCCCCGCCAAGTTAATGTGTATTTGTACATATGAATATACATGTCACCTGCCAAAAAACATCTCTGTCGCACTGTTTCTTTCTTCTTCCACACACTTCATCTTCTTCTCACGTGTGATCGTCAGGCCAGTCTGCGAACAACATCCTACATTGGGTAAGACAGCTAGGATTTAAAGTGGCTTAATGCATTTTTGAAAATTTTTGGGCCAGCCCAAACTTCATGTCGTTGTTTAATTATAAAACAACTTTTTTCCCTGATGAACGACGTGTATTTAAATTTTCGGAAAATGTGTTAGTCTACTTTGATTCTGTTGTGTCTAATAGGAAAACTTTCTTTTGAAATTGCATTACTTTTTTTTTTTTTTTTAGTTAAGATATTTAAAACCTATTCAAGGAGCAATCATTAATTGTTGAATCTGTCATACTGAGAAAAATGGTTTCGTACACTATTCTTTAAAATAGACAAAAAAAAACTTTTTTTTTGGTATGAATTAGAATAATATAGGCCATTTTATACTGCATGCATAGAAATATATTTTTTATGTCACGCAGAGAGTGAAAAAGAGATTTTTTAATGTTCTACTCGGTTAAAAATGCATATAGCACATATTTATATTTGCAAACATTGTATCTACATTTTTTATACACATAATCAGAAGAGATGATTAGAGAAAAGACATCGTACCTAATTTGTATGCAAGAGACTCAAAAAAGTATGATTGCTTCAACGTTTCTGTAAGTCACAACATGATAACTAAATCCTCGACTTCGCTTGTATAAAAATATTGCAAATAAAACAGTATTAAAAAAAGTTTTTGCATTGAAAAAAAATATTTAAGTAAGCGAAAGACGGGACCATAGCTTTAACAAAGCCTCTATTAACAAACTAACACTGAATCCTTGAGACCTCGAACACAAGGCCACATTTAAAATGCTTGGAATTATTTTAAATTAAAGTGGACATCATAATATATGTGAGTTATAGTAGACCCGAAGTATGAGAGAAAAAATACAAAATTTTTCAGCTTATAAAATTTGTGCCCAGAAAAAGCTAGTTGGAGATAACGAGATAAGGACCCACATAAAAAAAAAAAAAAAAAAAAGCGATTATAAGGAAACTAAAAACACAAAGAGGATTTCTTATGTGCTTTTTGTGATAAAATATTTTTTCAGGCTCTCGATTAATATGAGAATACTCATTGCATGTAAAAAAAAGATTCTTATATTATAATAATCCTATGATTTTTTATCTAAGTCGACAGATTGCAGCAAAAATTGGATTCAAAAAAGCAGAGCTGTGTCACGAAAAATATCCACGAAATCCAGCTACACTTTTATTTTTCAGCTATTTTTAGATTATTTACTCAAGGATGTCTTCATGGTTGGGGTATGATGTAATAATTACACTGGATTATTATTGAAGTATATTCCAAAACGTGAGATGTAAAGATCATTAGAGAGATAAAGAGAGATCGAGAGTGTGAGAGTAGCCCTTGAATGTATTTTGAGACACAAGGGTATCAGTGTGCAAGTCGAGAATAAACGATCAACTTTTTCTCTTGGATATTTTAATATATTTTTATCTAACTATTGATTATTTAACTATTTTTTCTTTTTTTCAGGCATTACTTATTATTTTACATGTTTCTTTTATTTTTTTTTCTCCACGTTTAATTTATTATGATTTTTAATATTATTATTATTATA